AGATTTTATTTATTTATTTGAGAGAGAATGAGAGAGAGCACATGAGAGGGGGGAGGGTCAGAGGGAGAAGCAGACTCCCTGCCGAGCAGGGAGCCCGAAGCGGGACTCGATCCAGGGACTCCAGGATCATGACCTGAGCCGAAGGCAGTCGCTTAACCAACTGAGCCACCCAGGCGCCCAGAAAAGATGGTTTTGATTTACACATTTGAATTGTAGTTGGGCACACTGAGGCCAGCATGGGGCTGGCATGCTCTAGGTCACCTGTGACCTGGGCTGGGGATCCAACCCCCCCACCTCCTCGGAGTTTCTGTTTCCTTTCTTACTCATAGAAGCGGATGCTGGGATGCCCCTGGGGATGGTGGGGGCTCCTGAAGGGCTCAGGGTTATAGGAATGGAGGCTCTGAAATGAGCCTCACTCTGTCACTCACTGGCAGGGTGACCAGACACTGATCACTTGCCACTCAGCTTCAGGCTCCTTGTGTGTTTTCTGGGGCTTAACGACAGCAGGCTGACATGAAGGGTGGGCACAGGGGTCCTCGGTGCTGGCCGTTCCTCCAGGCTACGCTTTCTTTCTTACAGTTCACTAACCGCTGCCTCCTCAAGTGGCTAAAGCTGTGGGACCTGGTGGTGTTTGGCCGAGAGAGGCCTGCTAGGAAGCCAAGGCCCAGTGTGGAGCTGGCCCGGGGTGGCAAGGAGGCCCCAAGCTCCAGCAAATGGAAAAGCCATGAGCAGGTGCTGGAGGACATGCTAGAGGCTGAGTTGGACCCGAGCCGGCGGCCCCGGCAGAAGGTAAGGCCCACCTGGCTGTGCCACACACATGTCTGAGCCCGGGGGCTGTGCTCTCTGGGCAGCCGGCGCCTTTGCAGCCTCTCGGGGCCCTGAGGCGCATTTAGCGCTCCCATGGCTGGGGCGTTAAAACATTAGCATGCCGGGGTGGTAACAGGCTATAGCACGTGGGCGTCTGTGTTGTCTTGGCTGCAGGTGGCACTGCTGTGTGGGCCCCCGGGGCTTGGCAAGACCACCCTGGCTCATGTGATTGCACGGCATGCTGGGTACTGCGTGGTGGAGATGAACGCAAGGTAAGTGGCAGGGAGGCCAACCTCCATCCTGACTTAGCCCTGAGACCCCAGTGGGTTGGCGGTGGGGACAGTGGAGTGGGGTTCTTACTTTCTCAGGGCTTTCTGGGGTGGTAGCCTTGAGGTGTAGGTGTGGTGGCTCAGCCCTGGAGACTGTCCGATCAGGGACCTTGGTTGCTGTCTTGGCTGAGGCCACGCTGCTCTGACGGCAATGCCCTTGGCTTCATGGTTCCAGTGATGACCGCAGCCCTGAGGCCTTCCGCACGTGCATCGAGGCGGCCACGCAGATGGAGTCGGTGCTGGGTGCTGGCGGGAAGCCCAACTGCCTGGTCATCGATGAGATCGACGGGGCCCCCGTGGTGGGCCTCCTGGGTGCCCCAGTGGGTGGGCAGGTGGGTGGGCAATGGGCTAGGGCTCACTGTGTCTTTTTTGCATTCCCTAGGCTGCCATCAGTGTTCTTCTGAACATCCTGGACCGCAAGGGCCCACAGGATGCAGAGTCAGGGGATCAGGTTCCCACAAGTGGGGGACGGCGGCGCCGGGCCGAGGGGGGGCTCCTGATGAGGCCCATCATCTGCATCTGCAATGACCAGTGAGTGGGCCGGAGCAGGGCTTTGCACAGGGAGGGGTGTGGTGGGGGGCCTCCATGGGAGGGCAGAGGGCTTCTGGGAGGGTGTACCCCCAACCCTACCTGGCCGCTTCTGCCCACTGGGCTGTGGCACATGCCCTGATGTCCCTGGCTGGGCGGTGTGGTGTGCACGTGCTTGTCCCTCTGCAGGTTTGTACCCTCCCTGAGGCAGTTGAGACAGCAGGCCTTCCTGCTCTACTTCCCATCCATACTGTCCTCGAGGCTCACGCAGCGGCTACAGGAGGTCGGTGAGGGCTGGAGCGGGGGACACATGACTAGGGGGCTGCGTGGCTGACTGTGGGGTGTGGGGATGTGTCCCCTATCCTGGCCCCGTGTCCCTCTCCTTTGCCATCCCCTCTCCCATCCAGGGCCCCATCCCCCAGCTGGCCCCAGGATGTGGGGGTGACCGGACCAGTTTGCTGTTTGGCAGTAGATGGTTGAAGCAGGGACCAAGGCTGGTCCGCGGGGATCTACAGCTGTGTTCTAGGGAAGAGAGGGCCCCAGGGTGGGTTTCTGGGGGAGTGGCCACCCACCCTCCTGCCTCCCTGCAGATCTCCCTGCGGCAGGGCATGCAGGCTGACCCGGGCGCACTGGCAGCTCTGTGTGAGAAGACAGACAACGATATCCGTGCCTGCATCAACACCCTGCAGGTGGGCAGGTGCGCGGGGCTGCTGCTGGGGTGCAGCAGGGCTCAGCCGCCGCTAACCAGCCCCCGCCCGTCTGTGTCCAGTTCCTTCATGGGCGGGGCCGGCGGGAGCTGAGTGTGCAGGCTGTGCAGGCCACACGAGTTGGCCTCAAGGACCAGCGCAAGGGGCTCTTCTCTGTGTGGCAGGAGGTGTTCCAGCTGCCCCGGGCCCAGAGGTAAGTGGGCAGGCCAGCCCCGTCTCCTGTGGCAGACTGAGCGCCGCATGGGCCCTGGGGGAGCATGGTCTGTGTACAGACGCCTGGGCCGCTTCGGGGAGCAAGGCATCCTGGAGGGGGATGAAGAGGTGGGGCCCCATTCCAGCCTTGGCACTCCTCTGCAGGCAACGCTGGGGCCAGGACCCGGCCCTGCCCCTGCACATGCTCCCGCTCCATGATGGGCACCTGGGTGTGGGGCCCCGTGCTGCCGAGGCGCCTTTGACCACGGCTTCCCAGCGGTTCTACCACATCCTGCACGTGGCTGCCTCCGCAGGGGAGCACGAGAAGGTGGTCCAGGTAATCTTGCTCTGCCTTGAGTGTTTTTGGGGGTGCCGGTATGCTAGCATCTGTCTGCGTCTCTGTCCCCAGAGAACTGGAGACGCTTCACATGGTGTCAAGCTCAAGGAGCAATGGGATGGGAGCAAGGGGTGGTGGACATGGTGCCTCAGGGAGCTCTCTCAAAGGTGATGGGGAGCAGGGACAGAGGCCTGGGAGGAGGGACTAGCTGGTGCCGGGGGTGGGGTGGGGGCCGGCGTGGGCTGGCAGGGAGGGGAGGTGGGCTGGGTGCGTGGTGTCATCTGACTCACGGGGTCAGTCCAGTTGCTGGTCGGGATGCAGGTGATTGGGGCGGGAGGGGCTAGACAGCCTGAGTCAGTGCCCGGGAGGGTCCCCGTTCTGGACATGAACTGTGGGCTCGGGGATGTGGGGTAGAGCAGGCAGGGTAAAGTTTTGGCTTGAGCAGGTGGCAGAGATGCCCCCCACCCCAGGGAAGCCTGGCTTAAGCTGTCTCCCTGACTAAGCAGCTTTGGATTAGTGGCTGTGGATCTGATAAATCCGGAACTCTCCACGGGGAGGGGTTGTGTGCGCCCCGAGGGAATGAGAGTCTCACGTGGAACAAGAGCAGGGGCTCTGTGCCCTCCGTTTTGGCCGCAGAGCTTTCTTTGGGGAGGGGGTGGGTACTGGAGCCTGTGGGTTCCTTGAGGCAGTCGTGGGTAGCGGGTTCTTTCCTGCATCTCTCAAAACAGTGGGGCGGCAGGCTGGGCCTTCCTGGCTCCTCCTTCAGGGCCTCAGGGCCACTTGCTGATGCTAGCAGCTCTCCCAGAGACCCTGGGCTTGGCAGGGCAGGTGGGAGGTGCTTGTATGTGGGCTGGGGGCTGAGCCTGGGGGGGGTTCAGCAGCCCACCCACCTGCTCACCCCCAGGGCCTGTTTGACAACTTCCTGCGCTTGCGGCTACGGGATTCCAGCCTGGGGACCGTGTGCGCAGCCCTTGACTGGCTGGCCTTCGATGACCTGCTGAGCCGCGCCGCCCATCACGGTCAGACTTTCCAGTTGCTGCGCTACCTGCCCTTCCTGCCGGCAGCCTTCCACCTGCTCTTTGCGTCCAGCCACGTGCCGAGGATTGCTTTCCCCAGCAGCCAGCAGGAGGTGTGTCTCCTGAACCCTGCCCGGGCCTGGGGTCTGGCTCAGGGAGCCTGGGTTTCCTAGGCCTGCTTCATCCTCCACCCCAGGCCCAGAACCGGACCAGCCGGACACAGAACCTCATCCAGACGCTGGTGGCGGGCATCGCACCTGCCACCCGCAGCCGAGCTGCACCTCAGGCTCTCATCCTGGATGCCCTCTGTCTGATTCTGGACATCCTTGCGCCCAAGCTGCGCCCTGTGAGTGCCTCGTCCGGAGTGGGGGTGTCGCCGCTGTGGGGGCGGGCCCGGCCATGCTCAGCGTCCCTGCCCACAGGTGAGCACGCAGCTGTACAGCACTCGTGAGAAGCAGCAGCTGGCCAGCCTCGTGGGCACCATGCTTGCCTACAGCCTCACCTACCGCCAAGAGCGCATGCCCGACGGGCAGTATGTCTACAGGCTAGAGCCGTGAGTCTGCAGTGGGGTGCCAGGGACAGGAGGCTGGGCTCCGGGTGCTACGGCAGTGAGGCCAGGAATCTTGGCGAGGTGTAGTCTCCCTTTTCCTGCCTGTGGGGCAGCGATAAGGGGTCAGTTGCAGCTCAGCACTTGCGCAGATGTGATTGTGAGGCGGGGGGTTCCCCTTACGGGGCATTATTTCAGAGGCTCTGCCTGCCTCAGTGTCCCCCAGGCACTGCTCCCAGAGGGTCCTCGAGCTCCCCAGGGCGCTGCTGCCCCATCCTGAGATGTTCCCCGGGGCCCCACTGCCCAACAAGGGGACCAGTGCCCATCGCTTTCTGTGCCATTTGCAAGGAGGCGGTAATGGTGACAGTTCCCAGTGCTCAGCTCCAGCCTTGAGCCTAGGCCCTGCCCTGTTGTCTCATTTTTTCATCCTGCAGCCTTGGGATGGTTCCCTTCTCATGCCCACAAGCATTTGGGGAAACTGAGGCTTGGGGTGGGTCATCCCCTGCTGCTATGGGCCCGGGCATTGTACTGTTAGGACTGAGCTGCACACTGCAGCCCCTGCTTCTTGGCGTTTGGGACGGGCGGGCAGGTAGCACCTGCCTGTGCTGCTGATGGCGTACTTCTTGACCCGCCCTGAGAGCAGGAACGTGGAGGAGGTCTGCCGCTTTCCTGAGCTGCCTGCCCGCAAACCCCTCACCTACCAGGCCAAGCAGCTCATTGCCCGCGAGATCGAAATGGAGAAGATGCGGCGGGCAGAGGCCTTGGCCCGGGTTGGGGACAGCCCCCAGGTAAGCCCACCCTGGGGGCCAGAGCCAGGCCAGGGAGGGCAGGGCCGTCGGAAGGGACCTTGTCCCTGGACTGGCCCTGCCCAGTCAGCCCTCACCACACCTTCCGTCTGCAGGTGGGCAGGGTTCCCCCAGGGGCCGAGGCTCCATGGGGGGGTGCCGGGGACAAAGGGGCACAGCCGCCCACCTCACACAGCCACGAGGGGCAGCGGCTAGAGCAGCGGCTGGAGCGCATCCTGAAGAGAGCGGCCCTGGAGGAAAAGGTGTGAGGGATGTGGCTGGTTCTCAGCCCTGGGGGGCTGTCACTTGCCTGCTGCTCAGCCTCGGAGGGTTTCCCGTGGCCCCCGCTTTCCATCTGGGCGAGAGGGGGCTCTGCTGGTTGTGGCAGGAGAAAGCTGCCATGTGGGTGATGAGGGACCGAAGGGACATGTGCTGAGTGGGTCTGCTCCAGCGTGAAGCGGGCCTGGGAAGGGGAGGTGGGCATCTGCTCCCAGAGCCTGGGGCCATTGGCTGCTCCCTGGGAGGGGGCCTCTGGCCCTCCCCCCAGGGCAGGGAGTGCCCGCCACCCGTCTAGGCTGAGAGCCTGACCAGCCTGCCCCCTTCAGCCTGAGAGGGACTTCTTTGGTCGTGTGGTCCTCAAGAGAGCGGCAGCCCTGAGTGCAGGTGTGTGGGCGCGGGAGGCACGGGAGGGGCGGCAGGGGCTGGGGCAAGGCAGAGGAACAACCATGTGGCCTCCACAGGAGATGTGGCCCCGGAGACCGACGCGGCTGAGCGGCACATAGGCACGGCGGTGGGCAGGAGTGACGTCTGGTTTCGCTTCAAGGAGGGCGTCTCCAATGCTGTGCGGCGCAGTGTCTACATCAGGGACCTGCTGTAGCCGGGGTGCACCTGACACCGTGAGCCCATGCTGGATACCTCCGGAGGCCCATGCTGGATGCCCCGGGTCCACACAAGACGCCCCAGGGCCCCACGCTTGATGCTGTCATGTTGCGAGTTCTCCGTCAGAAAATGTACAAAAGCACGGACGCTTTCAAAAAGTCTTTATAAAAGTCACACCTTTATGGAGTTGTCCTCCCTACAGAAGCAAGAGCCCGGGGGCGGGGCGGGGGGGCCTCACAGGATGGCACACTTGCCCTTCTCCACCCATGGGTTGTTCTTCATCAGGTCGGGGTTCAGGAACGGGTCCTTGGGGATCCCATCCTCGATCCATTTGAGGAGCCTGTGGTTGGGTAGGGTGGGGAGGGTGAGGTTGAGCAGGTGGGTGCCTGGCTTCTTAGAAGTGCTGCCCAATGGCAAGGTGCAGGGCTGTGGCTCTGGCTCATGCAAACGAACACAGGGCAGGGAAATGAAATGCAGATCGGAGCCAACCCTGGGTGGGGTGGGGTCCTGGGGACTTACTCAGGGATGGTCTTGGACGACATCTCCCTCTTAAAGGCCAGCTGGTACTTGAGGCTCTCCACCTCTTTTTTCATCTGGGGCACATCCCACTCCTCCATGGCGTCGGGAGCTTCGGAAGTGGCCAGCCTGGGGCTGGAGAACACAGGAGGAAGCAACAGCCAGAGGGCTGCCAGCCTGCAGTCAACCCCCAGATGCTCCCTCCCCACCAGATTGATAGCCGGTCCGCTACTTGGGAGGTCCCCAGGGGCTGTACCACCCCTTTCCTGGGGGTCCACAGAGGCACCCACGTAGTCCATATGGTGCAGGGCCTGGAGCTGAGGCCCCACTAATGAGGTCCCGTGTGTCTGCCCCTCCCCCCATGGGGCTAATTAACTGCAGAGAAGTTTTTACTCTTGAGCTCTGCATCCTCACCTCCCACCCCCATCAGAGCCTTACCATGGCCTGGTCTCTTGGAGAGAGAAGGGGCAGTGTTTCAGCCATAGCAGGACCAGGCACACAGCACAGATGGGTTCCCAGAAGCCCACCCTCCAACTGCGAGGCCCACTTCCCATTCCTGGTTGCAGAGGGGGCAATCCAGACCCTAACGTGAGGGGTGGGGCTGTGCCTGGCCTCCTTCCTGTGCCTTCCCTTTGCTTTGCATGGGGAAGCCTACCCAAGGGAAATTAATCTTGGGGCTTGGAGGATTTGGCTGCAATTTGCATCTCTAGCCAAGGGGTTGGGGGGGTAGGTGCTGAGGGTCTTGGGGTCACAGGCTGCACAGCTGGTCTGGGACTTGGAGTGGCTACAGCCTTCTGCTGCCCTGTGTTGCCCCCCACACTGTTCACAAACCGCCTGGCCCAGTTTCTGTTTGTGTACCAGCCTGGCAAAGCGGGTTGCTTCCTGCCTCCCTGACTAAAGCCCACTCCAGGGGCCCAGGGAGTCTCTCACTGGCCCCCAGGCCCTGCTCCCATCACGGGAGGCTGAGAGCCAGGGGGTTGGCTTTCTGGACCTTGGGAGGGTAGGCAGGGGTTGACAGGAGTGTGACCCTGTCTGCACTAGCCTGTGGAGGGGACTCCAGGCTGGAAGATCTCCATCTTGAGGGGGGTGGGGGTCGGCCCTGGTCGGTTGGGGACAGAGCATCCACACTAGGAGCCAGGGGTAAGAGCCGTAGGGGAGCAGAGCCGGCCTTTATGGGGGGGCAGCCAATAGGGGGCATGCAGTTACTCCCCTCCCAGAGACCCCAAGTTCAGCATCCCCACCCCTGGCCGGACAGCCACGTGGTGGGGGGCTCTCCGCGGCGGGGGCGGCGGTCTGCCCGCAGCGCCCACCGCCTGCCCTGTCTGCCCTACCTGCGCGCAGCGCCGCCGG